ATAAATTTCTCACCCAATATCCATTTTGAGTGTTTGAATATCCAATTTTGATCTCCTCGTGATGGAGACGTAAATCCATCGAGACCCATCCCAAAATCCAATTAAGTCGCATTCCAATATGGGCCCCAAAATGGGACTTTAACATGGCTTATTAAGCCATTTTTCCAGCAATGCACCACATGAATGAAAATTGACCAACGATGAAAAAACACAGACTCAACACGATGATAGAGTTCTGCGGTCTATACCAGCATATGATAGATAGGCGTTAACCCTTTAACCTTCCCTTATGAGAATACATTTACTTTACTGGCTCACCAGTAGACGCAATGTCCTTAAACTGTTATGCCATTGTGTAAATGTTAATATACCTCACACAGACATCTTCCTAACACAGTTCAGTTCTCATGGTCATGTTCATTTTGGTAATGAACATCTACCTCGTTCTGCAAGAGTTTCTAAAGAATTGAACCCTTACAATTCTCCTTTGAAGCGGCCCCACTTCTCTCTCACATAGGTGATTTCTTAATGAAGAGTAACCCATATTACTCCGCTCGGAATCCTAACACATCTGACGCATAAGAATCATTAAAAACAAATGTTTAACCTCTTATCGTACGGGTTTCACTGTTTTCATCATAGGAATAAGCTGGGGTAACCCCCACAGTGAACTCAACTAGTCTATACAATTTAGTTGTCCCATTGAACCTAGATCTTGGGATCTCTAGTCAACTAGGTTGGGTTTCCACTGCTTCGACATGTTTTTTCCATGGCTTCAGTTCCATTCCTCTCGATATTTTCTCAACTTGATCTCTATTCAGTCCTTTGGTCAGCAGATCTGCAATATTGTCTCTTGACCTTATATAGTCAATGACCATGACTCTCGTTGAGATCAATTGTCTAATGGTATTATGTCGACAACGTATATGTCAAGACTTACCATTGTACATCGTATTATGTGCTCTACCAATGGCTATCATTGTGTATGCAAATTACAGGTACAGGCTTTGGCCAATCCAGAATGTCCTCCAAGAAACGTCTAAGTCATTCAGCTTCTTCGCCACATTTTTCCAAAGCAACAAACTCAGCTTCCATCGTGCATCTGGTTATTACCGTTTGTTTAGAGGATTTTCATGAAATAGCTGCACCACCCAAGGAGAACACATATCCACTGGTAGCCTTAGAATCTTATGTATCAGATAGCCAACTTGCATCAGAGTATCCTTCTAATACAGTAGGTTCTCTTGTGTAATGCAGTCTATAATCACGAGTATATCTTAAGTACCTCAGTACTCTCACAATTGTTTTTCAGTGGTCATCTCCTAGGTTACTTGTGAATATGCTCAATCTACTCACAGTGAATGCAATTTCTAGTGTTGTATAACTCATTAATTACATCAGACTGCCAATCACTCTACCATACTCCACCTTGAATATGATTTCTCCTCTGTTTTTAGACAGATGTTGACTTACATCAATAGGAGTTCTGGCTATATCAGAATCATCTTTGTTAAACTTGTCAAGTATCTTATCCACGTAATGTGACTGAGTCAATATGAGAACATCAGGCAACCTTTTGATTTTGATTCCTAAAATTACATCAGCTGATCATTACTACCCACAATTATTATGTCGTCTACATACAATCAAAGAATTATATAACCATCTTCTGTATTCTTGACATAAACACATTTGTCACACTCGTTGATTTTGATTCCATTTGACATCATGACATCGTCAAATTTCTTATGCCATTGTTTTGGTGCTTGTTTAAGACTATATAAAGACTTTATCAATTTGCAGACTTTCTTCTCTTGTCCTGGAGCTACACAACGCTGAGGTTGTTCCATGTAGATTTCTTCTTCTAGATCGCCATTTAGAAAGGCTGTCTTCACATCCATTTGATGAACTTTAAGATTCCATAGCACAAAAATTGCTAGTATTATCCTTATAGATGTTATTCTTGTCATAGGAGAATACGTGTCAAAGTAATCAAGGCCCTCTCGTTGTCTATAACCTTTTATTACTAGTCCGGCCTTATACTTGTCAATTGTTCTATATGCTTTCATTTTTCATTTGAAAATCCATTTAGAACCTAGTAGTTTATTTCCTGGTGGAAAGTCTACTAGTTCCCAAGTATGATTTTGCAAGATGAAATCTATCTCACTCTTTATGGCTTCTTTCCATAGAGGACCCTCAGTTGAGCTCACAGCTTCTTTATACATTTGAGGTTCAGCCTTTAGCAAGTAGGTTAGAAAGCCTGACCCGAAAGACTTTCTATCCTTTCCCTTTTGCTTCATCTAGGCTTTTCCTCCATTTTCACGAGTTCATCATTTTCAGAGTTTTGATTATTATCTTCTACAATTGTCTTAATAATTTGTTTTAACAAACTTGGCTCATCCTCCTTGGTCTTACATGGAAATACATGTTCAAAGAACGATGCATTCCTAGACTTTATTATCGTGTTCTTGTGTATGTCAGAGTTTTTAGACTCATGCACAAGGAACCGATATGCAATACTGTTATGAGCATACCCAATAAAGATGCAATCAACCGCTTTCGGACCTATCTTCATCTTCTTTAGTGTTGGTGTCATTACCTTTGCAAAACACCCCCATATTTTCAAGTATTTGTAGGAAGGTTTCCTACCTTTCCACAATTCATAGGGGGACTTATCGACTTTCTTACGTGGAACCTTATTTAAAAGGTAATTAGCAGATAGGATGGCATCCCCCCACATGTTCAGTGGCAACCCATAACTTATTAACATTGCATTCATCATATTCGTTAAGGTACGATTTTTCCGTTCAGCAATGCCATTCAATTGAGGAGAATATGGCGGCGTGACTTCATAAATAATTCCATGTTGTGCACATAATGCACTAAATGGATCGACATATTCACCACCTCGGTCCCTTCTTACCATCTTAATCTTTTTATTAAGTTCTTGCTTGTAGAGAGTAAATTTTTTTACAGTTTCATCTTTGTATTATAGTATGGATAATACAAAGAATAACAATATATATCAACTTATTGCAAGAACAATGTCTTAAAATTGTTACAACACAAATTCAACCTTCTACCAAACTTGAAAAACCAAATTGGCAAAGATGACGTCGAGGCACGTGAATCACGCTCTCCTTAATTTTGTGTTGAAGAAAGCTGCTGTTAATTATGAATCCCTTGTTGCTAAGAAAGATAAGAAGTTACAAAAAATAAAGGCTAAATTGGAGAACACTTAAAAGATTCTGAAGATGATGAATTCTGGCACCGCCAAATTGGATCCTATTCTTTTGATGGAAAAAGCAAGTAGTGATCATCATGGACTAGGTTACACCGGAGAAAGTTCAATGTCAAAAACAATATTTGTCAAGGAGTCTACTTCCTTAAGCCTTGGACTACCCCTGATAAGAAATTTACTACCTCACATCCTCAACGTAAAAAGATCATTTCTACGTGTCACTATTGCCATTTATTAGGCCACATTAGATCTCAATGCTACATGTACTTAGATGCTCTAAATAGTGGTATGGATATTAATCCACCATATTCTGCAAAATCAAGGTGCATGCCTAAGAAGAAAATTGATATGAAATTTTGTAAAAAATTTTGGATAAAGAAGTCGGAACTTACTGGCTCTGGGCACTTTGTGAATGATTATTCTAAGCATTTGACATGTGATAAAAGTAGAACTCATTTGAGAATGTTACATTAAGGGGAGTAAGATGCAGAGAAGACACAAGGAGAGTAAGCCACAGAGGAAGATGAAGTCTAGTTGGAGACACTTGATTTAGTTTCTTTGAAGTGAAGATGTGTAGATTTCAAAATTGAATATCAACATAGAAGTGCAACAGATATCCAGATTCTAAATGAATAAGATTTGAGAATGACGAGGGTTTATCTTAGAAGGGCAGCAATATTAAAATAAGGATAATTACAAACATTATCTGATATAGCGAAAAGTAAAGATTTATCATTATTTATAAGTTTGACTTAGATTTGAAAGGCATTACGATTGTTTTGCTATATATATATATATATATATATAACATATGCTTGTACGTGAAGTGGATTAGAGGTTAAAGTGCAAATCCAGATTTAGTTTGATATTTGAAATTCTAAAGGTTTTATCCCATGAGCAGTTTGAATAAAGAGGAGATAATCATTGGAACACTTGAAGTTATCCGAGTTTGACTTAGGTTGAGATTAACGCGAATAAGTGATGGTTTACAAGCTCTATATAAATAGAGCTCAAGGTAGCTCACTTGGAGTATGGGGTTTTGTAGAATATTTTTAGAAGAGAGGATGTCAGTTTTTGAGAACCTTGAAGAGTTTATTAAAGATCGTTCTTTGGCAGAAGAATTAGAAGCTTTCGGGAGGAAGCGCACTATTAGCTGAAGAGAGTTCGTCGTGCGGTTTTTGAATATGAGTGGTGCTTACTGAACAAGGCCATTAATGAGATTTTACTAACCGACAACATTGTCAAAGAGGGACTTTTTGAGTGTATATGTCCGATTGATGATTGCAATCATTGATACTGAGTGGATTGTTCAATTCAATGTCTAGGCATGACCCCATGATGTAGGTTTTTAACCGAACGCTAATTTACGTTTCTACATTTAAAGAGCTTAATTAACTATTAACTGCAACACGAGGCTTAAAACAGATCTAATATATGTGTTTTGATAGATCATGGAGAATTTTGAAATATGATACATATTTCAGGAGTATTTATGCATTAAATTATCTCTCTAATAATTGTCAAATCATTAAATCCGTTAATAAAATAAATAGGATATTTAAAGTGAATAATGTTTCAAAGTTTAGGGGACGTGCAAACTAATTTTTAAAGTTTGGGGACAAAGGGACAAAATGACCAAAATTTAGAGGCAAAAATAAAATGTACCCAATCAGTTCCACACTAATAAACTACAGCCTAGCACACCAAATAGCTAAACTTATATTCACTCAGCCATCTTTATGGTTTATATCGATCAAAACTCAAAATTAAAACACAATTCACCTAGCGTCCTTTCATTGTGCTAACCGATCAGTGCTGTGGCCACTCACCGTGCCACTTCTGCGTTGCCCACGCCGTCGTTTCCATGCTTAAGTCGCTGGCGCTCTGCCCACTATCGCCGCTATTGTGCTCAGCGGTATGCCTAAGACCTTAACTATTTCTTGATCATTTTATTCCCAAGATTCTCGTGCTTTGGACATGTTCCCATTCTAGTGATTTTCAATGTGTTTGATAAATCGTTAATTAGTGATTTGGTTGAAAAAAATGGGTGAAGTGACGGGTGTTTTTTTTTTTTTTTGCTCTTTTTTTATTTAGTTTTATTATTTTATTTTATTTTTTTGGAAATTCAGGGCATTCATTAAGCAGGCAAATCAGCTAAAAACATTCATTTTCTTGGTTATAGAATAGCCAGATTGCGTTCAGAGGTGGGGGGATTTTGTTTGAAGTTTTGAACTTTAACTACCGTTTGGCGTTTTCCTTTTTCGATGTGGGGCTAGGGTTTCCATTACATTTACAGCCAAACTCAGAAACACAACAACAAAGGTTCCCATTACATATACAGCAGCAGCAAATCTTCTTCTTCTTCGATTTCTCTGCTCTCTCTCTCGTCTAAGAATCCGGTAAAGTTGTCGTCTTTGGTCTCGGAATAATACTTTCCGTTCACGCCCAAATCGGAAGAATTGGGGATAGAGTTCTGCTGAGTTTCAAAGAAACCCCCGAGGGAGTAACGCCATCTTCGATTGCTCTCATTCTGGTCCCTGCGTTCCTTCGATTGCCTCTATTCCGAAAAGGTCTCTCTCTCTCTCTCTCTCTCTGATTTTATTGAAACTTTCTATATGTTTGTTTGGGAAATCTAACAAATTCTCTCTTTTTAAGTGTATTATGTAACCTTAATTCTTTCATATTTGAATCATTTGTAACCGTTTTCTTATAACCATTGTGATGGTTTTCCTGTCTGTAGAATCAATTGTAACCGTTTTCTTATAACCTTCGTGATGGTTTTTCTGTCTGTGGAATCATTTATAACCGTTTTCTTATAACCTTTGTGATGGTTTTTCTGTTTGTCGAATCATTTGTAACCGCTTTCTAATTTGAATCGACGAGTTCAACGAACCTCCCATCTTGAAAGTTGTGTTCAACTCTTGTTTGATATCTCCGATCTCTGTTTGATTGGAAGTTGATTCTGTACTGTTCTAACGCAGCATTTGCCTTTAATCACTAATTGGATCCTCTCGGTTTGAGTCTCATCTCATGGAGATTTACAAGTGTGTGTCTATATATATATATGTATAAATTTGTTTATGTAAATTTGATTGTTTGCATAATTTGATGGTTTTAGTATGATGCATTGATTATCTTCCCGTTACTTTAGAAAGCAGTGAAGTTCTACAATTTCTTTTATGTTTTCCTTACTAATTTATGTTTGTACTATAATAGTATAGTAGTATCGATACTGACCTGAATATGTTATAGATCAAGTGTTTGTATTAAGCACTGTGTGAATGGTTTTTGATGATTTGTATAGATTCGGACTATTTTCAACTATATGGCTTTTTTTCTTGAAATATCTTTGAGTTTATCCTTGTTTATCTCGGTTTTGCTTCAGTTAGTTTCTGTATTTGTTGCATTATGCCAAGGTTTTTTGCTTGTTCCTTTACCTAATTGATTTTGCCAATTGACTCACATTCTGCTACACAAGTAGCTGTCTATCTGTATGTAATAACCTATGCCATTGTCTTGTATCATAGTTATACTTTACTCTTATATTTTCTCTCTGTTTTGTTGCAACTGATATTATTCTCGTACATCACAATTTTCTTTCGTCTGTATCATGTTCTTTCTCTTGAGTTTCACTAGTCTCTTCATGTAAAAGTTTAAATAGTCTCCCTTATGGGTGTTTCAATAGTTCTTTTCTTAAAGTTTTATTCATATTATCTAGTAATTATGATGAAAATTTATTATATTATAATTATATGTAGTTCTTATCATTAAACAACAGAAAAGTTAATGATTTTTTAAATGCTAGATTACATAACTTTCCTCATTCTTCAAAAGATATATTTTAATTTCTTTTTAATGTTAAATCTTATTACTATCATCCTGATTACAGATGTTTGCTAATATAGAAAGTTACTTTTAAATAGTTATTAAAAAATTTTCCTTCTGTTTCATTCTTAATCATTTTGAAAAATTTCCCTCTCATTAGGATAACTGCATTTTATTGGTTACTTTTATATTTCAAAAGTCTTGAATGGCTCTTATATCTTACCACAACTAGTCTTAATTTTATTACTGGTTTTTAGTGGATTTGATTCCCTAAATGTTTTTTACTTTGCTATGCGTTAAACAGAGGCTGGTAAGGAAGGCCTTCCTTCCTTACTTCCTCTTACATAAATAAAAATAAGAATAATAAAGAAAGAAAATATTAATATAAAGTAAATAAAAAAATCAATATCAACCTTGGTTGAATACTGCAATTATCTACATACGTTGCTATGTTACTGCGGTTTAGCATTCAACTTTGGTTTAATATAAATCCCGATATCCTTATTAAAATCTTGCTTAACTCATATCCCATGTCATTGCAATCCTATCTCAATATAAGATAAGTTCATCCGTCTTGTTTTCTTAAAATTTCAATAATCTAGTTTTTTTCTTTTTCTTTTTTTTTTGTACTTTTTCATATATTTACATACGTTGCAGGTTCGAAATGGTATATTCAATAGCCTCTTGATCTTCTGATGTTTATGTCTTTATTCTTCTTCTAGGTAGTTAAATAAATCTTATGTGTTGTTTTCCTAACATCACGTGATTTATACTTACATGCTCTTTGGATAGAAAAATACATTATTTGGTTGGATTTCTTTCCACCATGGATTGTATCTTTTGATACTTTCTTCTCAAAAAAGAATAAATAAATAAAAAAAATACAAATGGGAATAGCATCTGTTGCAAAGCAAACTAGTTCAGTAAAAAGCGCCGGAACTAGTGGGATTCCGAACAGTTTCTGATTCATTACGTTGCTAGAAGTCCCTAAGGAATCTCCCCGCCATATCCAAAAATTCCAGAGAGCTTAGTACGCGCATGTCAAACACCAGTACATTACATTCCACGCCCACCATAATGACCAAGCTATCATTATAAAGACTTCCAAGTCCATAACAGACTGAGCCCGTCCTAGCTACTTCCAAAAACAAACCACCAAAAGTAGCAGCCCTTACCCTCGATTTTTTCAATAATGACAACACAACACTAGTATCCCAAACTGCTGTAGACTTCGGGCACGCCCAAAGTGCATGCCAAATGGTTCATCCCCTTCTCCACATCTCGGGCAAGTGGTCGATACGTCGATTCCATGCCGACTTAGAGAAACTATAACTTGGGATAATAGAATGAAAGGCCCGCTGCTCAAAAAGTTTTTAATTTTACTTGGCAAGTTTAACCTCCCCAGCTTATTCCACGACCACATGTTTGAGCAAGTGCACAGACTTCAACTCCATTGCCAACCTGTACCCACTTTGCACAGAGTAGAAACCTTTAGCATCATAATGCTAAATCAAGGAGTCATCTCACTCATGATTTCGCAATTGGATGCTAAAGATGAGCTCCTAATCAATATTGAGTTCGAATCCAATGTATTAAACATGATGTAGTTTATGGGATTAAATTATCAAATAAAAGAAGTCTTAATACATGATCTAGTTTATGGGATTAAATTATCAAATAAAAGAAGAGACTAAAGTACAAAACATAAAAACCTAAAATGCTGGTGTTACATGGTGTACTTTTTTATTTGAAGCAGGAACATTGCATCTTTTCAAGTTCTAGGACGTGGCAAATGCTGTGAATTCCAAAGCGAAAGAATCCCCAAAACCCAAAACCCAAAATAACAATGACGACGACGACGATGACGAAGAAGATGAAGTGAAAGTTGTCATTCATTGTGCGTCGTTGTTTGAGCTTAAAGAACTCTCTAATCTCTGTGATGTAAGTTTCTTCTTTTCTCTTCTCTTCTCAGACTTTGGACATTTCGCTTTCTATTATCCAAATTCCAATTTCAAAACGAGTAGGTAAGACTCGGCACTGATTACTTTCTCTTATTTTTGTGATTTTCTAATTCTTACTTTCTTTCTTTCAATTATTCCAAATTGGAAAAATGGGTGTCTTGTTTCTGTTTAATTGAAATTCATATTAATTGTTTCTTAACGACCTATTTTATTTAAGTGCCTGTATAATCTTAGACGACCATATTTAGATAGAAGTATATAGAACGCCGATTATCATACACCAAGTTGAGTTAGTTTCTCACACATTTGATTGACAAATTTGAGTCAAATTAATTTTTACAAAGTACACCGAGTAGTTATTGATCATACATTGTTTGTAAATGTATCTTTATCCTTCAAGCGGAATTTTAGGATGAGGTGGGATTTGAGGGGGCGGGTTTTCTGACCGTAGGAGGAACAACGTTGCCCAACCCGGTTCCAGTGTAATTTTTCCTTTTGACAATGCAAAAGTAACATAATTATGTTTCAAAAAAGACATTGGTGATCTTGCTTCTCAAAATTTAACAAGTTGAACTGAAAGAGAATTAATTGCTTGGAAGGCCAATAAACAGCTGGGGGACTCTTATCTATGTTGTTGTTTTGCTGCTTTTGCCTCTGTTTCCGCATCTAGTTTTTGTGATTTTGGAAGGTGTTGTTAATTGATGCAGTTGGGTAGCTTTGTGGATTTGTTCGTGAAAAGAATTCAGATTGTATGGTGCTTTCAGAGCTATCGAGGGATTGGAATTTCTTGTTGTAGTTTTTGTTTTTCGACTGGACTCTCTTCCTTTTCCTCTACTTAAAAAAGTTTGTTTCATTCAAAAAAAAAAAAAAAAAAAAAAAGAAAATGGATGGAATAGAGAAAACGTTGGAACCTTTCATGTGGGTTGAGGACTATACTGAAATTGGATATGGATGGAATCAAGAGCAGCAATATCAACAACAAACTTCATTAACAAGAAAAAGAAAGAAAATGGAGTTTGTAGGGTGGGGATCAAGACCCCTAATTGAGTTCTTGGAGTCCATCGGTAGAGACACCAGCCAGCCCATCTCTCAGTTCGACATTACCGCTATTGTGAATGAGTATATAAATAGAAATCTTCTCCAGCCAACAACCACAAATAATAATCACTATAATCTTCTGAACATGGTTAAGAATAAAGAAAATATGAAGAAGAAAAAGAGGGTCGTATGTGATGAGAGGTTGCGAGCCCTTTTTGGCAAAAAATCATTTAGTCGAGTAATGATTTACAAGTTGCTAGAACCCCACTTGGCTGCAGACAATGAACAAGGTGATTCTGAAGACGGCTACCTTTCATGGGGCAATGAAGGAGTAGAAGCTAAAGGACAACAGGAAAAACACAAGAGATTGGTTGTTGAAACGTGTAACGCTAATCCTACACCTAAAAGTTGCTTTGCTGCTGTAATTCCCGAAAACATAAAGCTCATTTATTTGAAGAGGAGTATAATTCAGAATATTTTGAAGCAGGAAGTTGACCCTAAAACCATTGAAACCAAAATAGTGGGAAGCTTTGTGAGGACCAAGTCTGATCCTAATGACTATCGTCAGAAACACTCTCACAACCTCCTCCTAGTTGCAGGTAATATACTTTCCAATAAATGCTTGACATTTAACTCTGTTGTGGATTGAATATTATAGCAAATGTGTATAATATTTCTGCATTCTCTAGGTGTAAAGATCTCCTCTGGGACTGGTGGTAGTAATAATTCTGAGATTCTACTTCAAGTTTCCGGCGTGATAAAGGACGTCCCTATTTGCATGCTTTCTGATGAAGATTTCTCTAAGGTAATCTATACATGAGAAAGCTTTGTGAATTATCAAATCCCAGTTTCTTGGCTTTCTGAAATGGTCTTTAATAGTGAGTAGTTTGTTGATTTCGGTAAAAGTTCTGCTTTCAGAATAATATCCTTTTAGTTTTTTTAACTATGAAGTAGTTAGGAATCGACAGTTATACAATTTACAAACCTTAGAAAGGTTTTATATGTAAAACCAGGATGATACTTACTCCAAAGCTAACATGGAAATCAGTAAGAAGTTACAAAAAAGACTTATTGGAGGATCTTCTTCCCGAGTTAGTGGACGTAATTTGTTTGCTGTTTCTGTTGTCGAGTGGAAAGAATAAAGCCACTTGGAGGGAGACACCTCAATTGTTGTCCCTTTTTTCTTTTTCCCGAACTTTGAGACTCGTCTTTGGATCCAAACGTCCTGTGTTATATTGAGTTTCTAAAGACATAAATGAAAATCATGAAAGTGTGGTGTGTTTATGATTCTTCTAACAGTACATCAATGTTTTATTTATGTAGCATTCTTCATTTGCCTTTTGCATATAGGTTTAAGTGCTGACGCTTAGCCTCTGACCTCTCTATGCGTTTGAGGCTTGGGCCTCATTAACATTTAAAGGTTAAATTTAATTTTTGTGCTCGTGGTAAGTTTACGTCCAGGGTAAAATTTAGAAGGTGTGTTTGAGATTTACAGATATGATTGGTTGCTTTGCATATGGTCAAAGTTACATAGGGAGAGCAGTGATGTCATGGTGGTTACATATTGCTACTCCGCTGCTTTCTTTTTTCTTTTTTTTTTTTTCATGCTTCCATTTAACTTTGAGATCTCTTTGTCTGCACACCATCTAATGTCATGGCAATGGGTTAAGGAAGAATGTGAGGATTTGCGTCAAAGAGTGAAAGATGGTATTCTCGAAAGACCTAAAGTGGTAATTATTTTTTAACCCAATTTCTTTTTTTTTTCTCTCTTTCATATAAATCATGTATTCGTGTGTACAAGGACATTAGAAGCATCAGAAATTGAAAAGAAATTTCTAATAAC